AGTTGCTCTATGTTGTAGGAGAGGGAGAAGGATACAGGGTAGTAAGTTGCTCTATGTTGTAGAAGAGGGAGAAAGGATACAGGGTAGTAAGTTGCTCTATGTTGTAGAAGAGGGAGAAAGGATACAGGGTAGTAAGTTTCTCTATGTTGTAGAAGAGGGAGAAAGGATACAGGGTAGTAAGTTGCTCTATGTTGTAGAAGAGGGAGAAAGGATACAGGGTAGTAAGTTGCTCTATGTTGTAGAGGGGGAAAAAGGATACAGGGTAGTAAGTTTCTCTATGTTGTAGAAGAGGGAGAAAGGATACAGGGTAGTAAGTTGCTCTATGTTGTAGAAGAGGGAGAAAGGATACAGGGTAGTAAGTTGCTCTATGTTTTTGAAGAGGGAGAAAGGATACAGGGTAGTAAGTTGCTCTATGTTGTAGAAGAGGGAGAAAGGATACAGGGTAGTAAGTTGCTCTATGTTGTAGAAGAGGGAGAAAGGATACAGGGTAGTAAGTTTCTCTATGTTGTAGAAGAGGGAGAAAGGATACAGGGTAGTAAGTTTCTCTATGTTGTAGAAGAGGGAGAAAGGATACAAGGTAGTAAGTTACACTATGCTGTAGAAAAGGGAGAAACGGTAGGTCTAGTTGACACAGAGGAGGTGAGAAAGGGTACATAACGTAACTTGATGGACCTCGTTAATTTTGAATAACTGAATAAATGGAAAAGAATCACTACTGCGCCAGATTACAAAGAGTGGTCACCTGGATCTTCTTGTCCTAAATGAGTTGACCTGGATATATCAGGTCACTTGACCAACACTGGACATTATATTCTTCAGATTAAAGGTTACATGACGTCATCAGAACAGGTGCCCGTCAAGTGAGAGTATATAGGAAAAGTAAATCAGACGACATATCTCTTCTATAACCACCACACATCTATCATTCTATTTCTATACAAACCTTATTATAATTATCTTAATATAACCTAAATTACTTTTAAAACAAGTTTTAACAACAGGACAATAGTTCAAATTCTCTTTTAATCTTTCATTCTACAAAAACTTGTTCATGTCATTCAAAGGAAGTGAATTACAAATGAACAATTACATGATTTCTTTTCTTTTACTTTCATTTTTTAAAATTTTCGTCTGCATTAAATGCAAATCTTGTTTTCGTGTTTTCATTAACATTCTGTGGGTCAGCTTCAGACGCATGATTCAGTCAAAAATCACACACCACTTAATTCGTGTCACTGTTTATCAAATGCATGCTATCTTAGGGGTTTCACCATGGCAAAAGAAGATTGCTCAACCTCGATTGATTCTGATGCTATAAACGGTAAAACAAACGGCGCCCCGAGTGCTTAAATCTTAGCGCGTTTAAAATCTCTTGAAATCAAATTGACGAATGCTGCTATAGTGGACAAATTTCGTCATTTAAGAAAACTATGTAGCTTACAGACAAAACGTCTGCTAGGCGATTGATTTTTGGTGCCACGCCCAATGCTTTCGATAGTCCACACGGTGTCAACAAATAATATATCCTTTCTTCAACCATTGAATTTTGAGTTATTGATCTTACATTACAGATATAATAGATTTGATACTGGTTTGTTGAAAATTAGATTTTTCACAGAGATGTGTTAAAATGTCAAGAAAATAAACAGAGCAAGTAATGAAATGAAAGAAATATTTTCAATGAGAATAAAATTCAAATGTTAAAATGTTTTCTTTGTATATAGTAAAATAAAAACATTACATTCATATCGCCGTATTTCTTTGATGTGGGTGATATGACTGACTTTTAACTAAGATAAAAGAACATTTTAAAGCGATAACTAACTGATGGAAATCTGAAAGACCAAAAATATTTTTTTTGAGCTATAGTTATCCAGATAACTTGAAATAACACTCAAATAAAATCCCCCGCCTTTTTGTGAAAATGACGACTTTATGAACCTTTGCAGCCTTTAGAACATTTGCAGAGTGTTGAATTTCTGTAGGTACCGTTAGATGGAAGAGACAAATCTGAAAATTGGACTGCAGAGTGAATCATAGTAAGCTTTTTTGAGTTTTGTTTTTGTCCTTTTTTACAAAGACATATACATATAGTTAAATTTAATGTGTTTAATGTAATTTATCAATAAATAAAAAAAACGGGATTGCAATAAAAGTGTTAATGAAGTGAGAAAGAAGGTTTATCATCAATGAAGCGTGAGTGAATAGTTTTTAAAATCACGGTTTGATTAATTTTTATGTCCAGGTTTTGATGTTTTTGGATTCGCTCGGACAGTTGATGTAATAACCGATAGTTGATATCATGATAGCGTAGCGTATGCTAAGTTATATGGTGACTGAATTAGGCCACATGGAATGTTCACGCTCTTTCTTAATATTGAAATTTCACAGGCCTATTGTCTGTTAAGGAAAGCAATGCGAGAAGATCTTTTTATGCTAAGGAACGATCACTTAGGGATGTATTCGTCTTCATCATAACTCGCTCCTTCCCACCTTCTAAATTTATTGACGATATGTCAAGTGGCATAGTTATCAGCCACCATATTTGAGATATTTAAAAATTTAGTTTTATTTAGATATACAATAGTTCGATATGATAGGTATTATTATATTTTTATATGGATCACTGATATATTTGAGATCTGTTGTTGAAAAAAAAGGTTCACGTTGTTCACACCTCATTAGTCTTTAGTTTCACATTGATAAGCTGAACGTTTGAGTGTTCCCCATCAACAATTTAGGTTACTACAGACTATAGCACAACAGAAGACCTCCCTGAACAAAAACGCTTAGTTAGGTGATGTCTTGTGTGACTACATGAAGAAGGTTTCAGTCAGGTGATCAAGCTTGCATGTTTCCTGTAATAGTACAACAATGAGCCAATATAGTTTTTGAGTTTGATGACACCATGGCATGCAATGTGGTGTATTGTACTTCTCTATTGCCAATAGTACAATAGCACCAGCATCAGCATGCAGTCACCATTCATAGTAAAAACCACACCAAAAATACAGGTATAAACATTGTATCAGTAACAGGTCTTTATAACAGATATAGCTAGAGATAAAGATCAAAACAATTATATAGAAAATATTTATAGTCATATCTCGACCTTGATAAAAAATACGACGATCACTTTATAATATTTCAATTAATTTTTCCATAAAATGGAACAGATTAATTTTTACAACTGATAGTAAACTATAAGTATTTTATATACATAGTTGGTCTATAGGATGTTATTGAAAACACAAGGAAAAAGTTACCTGTGGAGAGCTGTTGATACACATGTGATCTACCACAGTTCTCAATCTTCGTTTTGATATTGATTGTTTATTGGATACATTGATAACTTGTATGCCTGTTGTTTGTTTTTGGTAACTTATACTGTTTTTAAAAAAATATTGGATCTCCTTTTTGTAGTTTTTATGCAATTACACTTGGAATATTTCCGATGCTGAAATAGGGAAAGGCTTTTGACAGTAAAAAACATGTAACCGGATATCAATGACGATCAGGATAATAGAAGTAGGTGTATGCCATGTTAAATAGGCCACCGTAAAGGTAAGATCGTGTTATAATATATTTAGTTATTTTCTTATTTATCTATGACGCTTTTCAGTTTGAAATAATATTATCTCACATATATATGCTTTTTTCCAATTATTAACTGCTGTATAACGCACTTACGCCGTTATCTGTTTCAAGTACCGAAACGCTAGACGTTCTCCCATGCCATTCCTTCTGATCTCCCCCCCCCCCCCCCCAACGCTTCCCCCTCCCCCTCATATAATGATATATATCGCTATGCAATTGTATTGAACACTATTATTTTTTAGTGTAAATATTGTATTATTGTAATAATATAATTAAGTATTATTTACACCTGCCGTAAAGGAATTTAGGTATAAACAGTAGTAATACAGGTGTTAACAATCAACATGTGTTGGAATGGGAGACCCCATGAGAGGACAAATCGGATGCAAGGTGTAAAAGTGTATTGCAGGCAATCAATGCGTTTCTTGATAGTGGAGCCTTAAGAATAACAGTCATATTCCCTTCCCCACCGCCATATCATTTGGGCTCCTTTAATTATATGCAATGGGCAGTGAATATGAAGTAAATAGGTAAGAAAACTATAATAATAGTCTCCAGTCTTAACACAGAACCCTGGAATGTCCTAAACTCCAACTGACAAGACTCATGTTGTTTATTTTAAAACTTCTCAAAATACATCTCCTTACTCTCTTCTCTTTCAAATCTCTTGACTTTACCTCAAACCATGTTTTTATACCTCATCGTGTTCATATTGTCTGTTTTAGTCCACAGCCTGTGTTTACATGTTTAAATTGAGATGAACGGTGTCAAAAACTAAACAATCTCTCACGCTCTATGTTGACCAACGTCAACCACTCGCACCTACAAGTATACCATCTATACCGTTATGGCATTAATGACCTCTAGTTGATAAAATGTAGGAATCTTTCCATTTTACAATCAGCTGGATCAGTAGTTTGTATATCTGTAACGTGGATCAAATGCATTAAGCTCGTTTAAATCCACAGGTAAATATCGAAGTTCAAAATAGTAGAGACTATTGCCAACGCCTCTTGCAACTTTATTGTGAACTCATCATTGACAAATAGCCTTAAATGGTAGTAAAAGTCGAGCATATTTTACCGAAACTTTCCACTTCAATTCAAAGGTGCATACAAGATCTTGTTGACCAACTTACACAAGTTAATGTCTGGATAAACAAATATATTTGTAGTCGAGATTAGACCAGTGTGTATATGACACCGACATTAAAGAAGAGTAAGAGCACACATGTATCAGTATGTTTTTAATTTGGTCTGAAATGAAGACGGGCTGTGTTATTTAACTAGGAGTTAGGTTGAAAATTAAAACAAGTGAAATGTGAAGTGATGTGAAATATATAGTGATGTAATTAGTGATACTTCTGCAGACAGGTAAATTTAATTGACTTTTTAATGTTTTTATTTGATTTCATGGACAGGTTGTACAGGTAGAACATAACCTTATTGGAGAGTGTAATGGAACGTATTAAATGTGGAACTATTGGAAAAAGACTTATAAAAAGAATATTTGAGAATTTCGTTGATCTTCATGGACACAAGAAAAGTAAACACATTTTTAAGAGTTAAATAGTGAAATGGAGTTTTACGTTATACATTTCTCAGACTTATTAAGTCATGCAGTGTGCAATGGGGCAAATCTTTCTCAAAGTACCTTGAGCCTCAACTACACAGCCTGGTGTAGAACTAGCAGTTAATTAAGTTAAAGAGTGGTTAGGTGGTTTATTGCTAAAAAAAAAAAATGAGCTCATTTCATGTGTTTCGGATAAACAATCCTTCTCAGGGCAGCCTTTTTGGAAATAGTGATTAGCTTTAGGACTTAAGGAGAATAAGCAGAATAAAATAACCTCAAAGATGCAATGGTTAAAACTATAGATACCGATAAATAAGTGATATAGTAGAGGTGGCAGTTACTCCAACTACTTATTGCCCTTATTCAAAATAAAATTCTAGGTTTTAAAAGGTTTAAGGTCCATGGTTAAGATAGCAGTAACTCGAAAAAAATGCCTAGGTTCATGGTTAAGATAGCAGTATCTCAACCAGAAGGATTTTAAGGTTCATAATTGATAACAAGAACGCAACAAAGAGGTGCTAAAAATCATAGTAAAGATAGTGGCAACTCAAAAAAAAACGGAGCTGAGGTTCATAGAGGGATTACAGAATCTCAATCTAGAAGGTTTAAGGTCCATACTAAAGATAAATGTAACTTGGCATAGTAAAGATAGTAGTAACTCAACCAAATGGGCTCTTAGGTTCAAAGTAAAGATATCAGTAACTCATCTAAATGGGCACTAAGGTTAGGTTCAAAGTTAAGATAACAGTAGTTTAAATTGACGCTAATCTTCAGAAAGATACTTAGGTTTAGGTAAAGATAGCAGTAACTCCATCTAAGGGTGTTATGGTCTTTACTAAAGATAGTAACTCTTTAAGATAGCAGTAACTCAATCCAGAAAGATGCTTAGGTTAATAGTAAAGATGGAAGTAACTGGCTCAAACATGCAGTAACTCAATTAAATGAGTGATAATGTTCATAGTAAATATATCAGTAACTCAATCTAAGGGTGTAGTTACTCAATCTAATGGTGTAGACGTCTATAGTAAATATATCAGTTAGTCAATCTAAGGGTGTAGACGTCTATAGTAAAGATAGCAGTTATTCAATCTAAGGGTGTAGACGTCTATAGTAAATATATCAGTTACTCAATCTAATGGTGTAGATGTCTATAGTAAATATATCAGTTACTCAATCTAATGGTGTAGACGTCTATAGTAAAGATAGCAGTAACTCAATCTAATGGTGTAGACGTCTATAGTAGTAATAGCAGTAACTCAATTTAAGGGTGTAGATGTCTATAGTAAAGATAGCAGTAACTCAATCTAAGGGTGTAGACGTCTATAGTAAAGATAGCAGTAACTCAATCTAAGGGTGTAGACGTCTATAGTAAAGATAGCAGTTATTCAATCTAAGGGTGTAGACGTCTATAGTAAAGATAGCATTTATTCAATCTAAGGGTGTAGACGTCTATAGTAAAGATAGCAGTTATTCAATCTAAGGGTGTAGACGTCCATAGTAAAGATAGCAGTAACTCAATCTAAGGGTGTAGACGTCTATAGTAAAGATAGCAGTTATTCAATCTAAGGGTGTAGACGTCTATAGTAAAGATAGCAGTAACTCAATCTAAGGGTGTAGACGTCTATAGTAAAGATAGCAGTAACTCAATCTAAGGGTGTAGACGTCTATAGTAAATATAGCAGTAACTCAATCTAAGGGTGTAGACGTCTATAGTAAAGATAGCAGTAACTCAATCTAAGGGTGTAGACGTCTATAGTAAAGATAGCAGTAACTCAATCTAAGGGTGTAGACGTCTATAGTAAAGATAGCAGTTATTCAATCTAAGGGTGTAGACGTCTATAGTAAAGATAGCAGTAACTCAATCTAAGGGTGTAGACGTCTATAGTAAAGATAGCAGTAACTCAATCTAAGGGTGTAGACGTCTATAGTAAAGATAGCAGTTAGTCAATCTAAGGGTGTAGACGTCTATAGTAAAGATAGCAGTAACTCAATCTAAGGGTGTAGACGTCTATAGTAAAGATAGCAGTTAGTCAATCTAAGGGTGTACACGTCTATAGTAAAGATAGCAGTAACTCAATCTAAGGGTGTAGACGTCTATAGTAAAGATAGCAGTAACTCAATCTAAGGGTGTAGACGTCTATAGTAAAGATAGCAGTAACTCAATCTAAGGGTGTAGACGTCTATAGTAAAGATAGCAGTAACTGGATGAACCAAAGGTGTTAATGTTCATAATAAAGATAGCAGTAACTCAAGCTCAGGGTGTTGAGGTCTGTATTAAAGATAGCAGTATCTCTGTCTGTGGATCTTTTTTTTAATCATATGACTCAAAACTGTTTTCGTCAAGTTAGTTATGCCTTCGCGATAATGGGTAACGTAAATTGAAAGAGATTTGAAATGTCAGTTTAGCTACAGTTAGCAAGTATTTGCATCTGTTTGAGTTACTAAGTCTTCCCAACATTGACACATGCAGAAGTCACGTGACAACATTTTGGTTTAACAATGTCCAGAGTCAGAAAACATAAAGATGCATTTTTCTGAAAGGATCAAATTACAGATAATACAATGTATTTTCAAAATCCTGATCATTTTGAGTTTTCTGGGCAATCGTCCATTGAGATTCGCAGTAAAAAATAACTGTAGACTAACTCCATTTAATAGTAAAGATCGTAAAGGATGCTACGTTTCGGTATAATTCATTGTTTCTTGAGGATGCACAGAACTTCTTCTAACAATTGTGATATACAACTTATAGATATTTAGATGTATTTAGTTGTTGTTGAGAATAAGGCAGTCTTTGCCTTTTGAAGTATTGATAGTGGGTAAAGTTATGTTTAAATACAGATTCAATATTTATTTTTCAAGTAATTATATCTTTAAATATTGGTATTTGACTAAAATTAGAAGATTTTGTTCAAATGATTGCTGTATGCTCATAACCAATATCAATATGTGATATTTTAGAATTGCAATATTTGTTCATACCCAAAATACTCTTTAAAACTAAGCAAATATATCAATCGTCGTTTTTTATTGTTTTAAAACCTGTTTTGTTAGAGAACATTATCATTTGCCTGATTTCCAAATCAGTCGTCATGATGACGGATTTTATATTTAATACACTAGACTCTGGTTATGCTCAGGTAATGCTATTTTTTTTTTTTTTTGCTATCTAATTACTGTGATGTCAGTATTGAATACATAATGCAGGTAATGTTCCAGAGTTATTTGATGTCTGGTGCTCCATTGGGATTACCCATATCATATCTTGTCCGGTTCATCCTTGTCAGCTTCACCAGGTCTTTGTACATATTTGTACTACTGCTATAATTAAAGATGTAGAAAAGTGACAGGGTTGGGTTCTGTTCTAATGTTTCCAAATTGCTAAAATGGTTAGGGCAATGCAAATATTGGGTTGAAGAGTTAAGCTGTAAATAGTGTTAGGGAAAGAAGATATATACCATAAGACACCCAAACCCTTTCGTCATCGGGATGACATGTGCGCCTACAATAATAATATAGAGGATGATGACAATGTTTGGAGTGGATAATTTACAGATGTTGTGTTTGTTTACTTTTAATCTACGTACCTTAACTCGGTGGGTTTGCTATGACAGTTTACCCTGACCACACCAGATCAATGAATCCATTTGGCACCGATGACCACCAACCAAAGGTATGATAGTAAGGGGTTGTTGATGGTACTCAATGTGGCATCTTGTTGTGTCCCTTTTCGTGTTTTGGGGTGTAATGTGCAGTTATGTAGATTGCAGGTATAGACTTGTGACTTGAATATTACAACACTTAAGCAGAGTGATTTTGAAATATCATTCGTGACAACCATCTCAAAAATCTCAAAATCGTACATTTATGATGTACTTGGCTTACATGCCATGTTTCAGCAGGAAACAAAACCCAGATCATCAAGGTCTGTCCGAGGTTCATGGTTGGCAAATCCAGCTCACCGTTCTGTCACCTTCTATAAACCTATTACAATTTTTAAATGTTACCTATTTACTATGACATCATAATTACAGGTAACGAACACACCTGAGATTGAACTATCAAATCATTTAACAGATAATCCGGTTAACCCTAAACGTTCATATTAACTAGATTATCGATAAGGATTATGTTAATCAATCAGATTATAAACAATAAAGGGTGTATATATATACACATGTATCAATAGTCAAATAGTAACTATATGTTATTTGTATCTAAAACATTGAAAGGAACAGACTAATTTTCTTTACTGTATACTATTTGTGTTTTTCCCCTGCACATTTCTGATTTTTCCTTATGTGGATATAAAACCGTTTTAAATGCCAGCAACGGTAAGTTTTTTGTTTGTTTTTAAACAAAAGTTTAAACAGCGACATTTAGCAAAATAAACTGTTTTAATACAATCGGCGTTGAATTAGGCTTGGAATTAGTTTTAACTAATTATTCTCCACATTGGCCAAGGTCTTGAACACACAGCGTACTGGTTCCATAAAGAGATTGTGATAAACTACTAATGATAAGATGTCGTCAGTTTTAGTTATTCACCTTCTGACGACATCCTGCGACAAAGATTTCCTCTTGGAATGTACTCAAAGTTTAAATTTTTATGTTAAAATCTGTCAGATCTTTAAACCCTCGCCCTCCAAACTAGACAATAGCCGTTAGCAATGAAAAAAGTGATAAAGGAAGGTAACCAAAGGATCAACTCAACTCACAGCCTATTTTCAATTCAACACATGTAGAAGATGAAAAGCCTATTACCAGTCTGTTTAAGATAAAAGCTGAATGAGAAATTGTTTGAAGTCCTGTTAGAGTTTAGGTTCATTTAACCTTCTAACTATCTTACAGTATTAGTTACTAATCACTTTTAAAGTTTCATTCCCCCGTTTCAGTTTTATCTGTTACTAACCTCATGAAATGCGAATAATCAACAGCCCCCAAACATCGTCATTGACACTAATGTCAACCCTAATTTCTTCTGGAGGATGAATGGTCCATTGATAAACTGATGTTCCCCAAACTGGCTTCACTTAATGGTTTCCTTAACAGAGATTAGCCTATAGTTCACTGTTCATTACTATTAGCTTAGACAAACCCAAGATATCATTCAGCATTATCGGCTGCCAGAAGGTTGTACGCTGATTGAAATACGCACGCCTTTAGAAAAAGTAGCATAATCTAATGTAGATATATCTCTGAAGGTGCTTGATTGTTGAACTATATTCATCTACTTCCCACTCTTTCATGTGATATTGAGATTGACCAAAAAAAGATTTTTTTTTTTCATTTTAATAAATTTTGATTGTGAAGGACTCTGGTGATCTCCTTCCTTCCCAACAGTCATTACTACTTTAAGTTGAGGGTTTGATAGTGGGGGGTAAATGGCGCATGTGTAAAAGAATTAACAGCGCGTGAGCCTGGTTTTGTTTAAAATATGACTAAAAGTTTAAAATGTTGTAAAAAATAAAATAATTAAGAAATAAAAGGAAAAAGTCACGCTGTGTCATATGGTTTATTACGTCAAAATTCATTGATAAATGTACAAATGATGAAAAGCAGACGAGAATCGCTCAGCAGACGACCAACAAACGTTCTGTAGACAACAGCCCACCTGAAGCTTTCTTCTTAGGTAATTTTCAAATTGTAATTTAGAAATAAAATGCACGTACACGTAACTACGTTCAGGTGCACAAATGAGTATATAACAGTTTTTAAAACAGTAATATAGTTTGTCGCTCTCAGATTATAAGCCATTTGCTTTTCATCAGTAGAAATTTACCAATCAACCACAATTTTGGAAATATTTTTGTTTTGGAATATACCGAAAACAACCCATGACATTTTAAAACCATTATGTTAGTCTTGGTATTCCCGCCTACGCAGTTCTCGATTTGAACTACCTAACGACTAACTACTAGGGATAGTTTAAAAACGAAATGAAAGTCACCCGCTGTGTTTTAATATTACTTATGATATTAACCAATTACACCCAGCACCGTGGTTCATTTCCAACTTCAAAAAACCATTCATAGAGCATCAGGTACTATTTATTAGCGTCATCAAACAGCATTTAGTCTTTGAACGCCAACTAAGTTATTTTCTAAAATATGTTATTCTTTCAAGAAATTTTTCATTCTATAACATCGTGAATGGTCTGTAATCTGAAAGGCTATTGAGTTACATGTTTTTTGGGTTGCTCTGAGAATTGGTTATCTTTAATGGGTTGTACATATGAGCATAAATTTCAGTACTCATACAGAATTGTTCTTCAGAAACACTACATAAAATATGCTGTATCCATTTATTGACTACAACGACCGAGTTTCAAAAGGCTAAAAGTCCCGCTAATCCACTGTCTTTTGAACGTCAGCAGGCAGTCAACTGAAATCTGATTTCTGTAGGTCTAATCTTGATTCTTAGACTTAGTATTAATTTGTTAATCTGGTTTCAGTCATTAACCCTGATTTGTCTCCAGCTGATTATAAACAGGTCAAACATTCGAACGTTGACCATTAACATATAATTTGTAGCCATAGATATAATCAAAGGTTCTATACGGGTGTTGTCAGACTTACGATTTGTTCTAATCAATAAACGCAAAAGTTTTTATATTTTGCATTGTATATTTCAGAGCAACATGATTAAAAACCATTCCACGACGGCGTTGCGTCAAACAGCCAGTCGTCAGGAGTCAGCACCAGTTCTAATAACGTCACCGCCACCTGTGGAAAACGTCAAAGGCAAGAAATCCAAAACTTTGGGTAGAGTGCAAAGTGTAAAAGATGAACGCGTACCTCCCCTCCCGTCTTGTGAACTGTCGATAGATGATAGAGCACCTGGGGTCATTAAAATATTCGGCGACTCAGTGGTTCATGGTGCTCAGTACAAAAGCGTTCTTGCGTCAACTAGGTCCACGGCTATCGAGCTAATCAAGCAAGCCCTTGAGCGTTATGGGTTATCGACATTTAATCATCAAGATTATGTTTTATGTGATACGATAGGAAAGCTAAAACCCGTGCCAGATGATCCACATCGCTGGGTGGTGGTTTGTCAAAGAGCTTTGAAAGACTCCGACAAACCCTTGGAATTCCAGGAATTTTGGAAACCGCTGGATGGTTATTACAGACGGTATCAGTTGCACAAAAAGTCGGAATTTCTGGATGATAATATCGCTGACGATACATCTGGTATAAATGACAATGCTCGAAAGATCATGATGTCAAAGGTACATGTTGGAGCTATCCCAGTCTCATCATCTTGGAGCGGAAGTGAACATAGCCAGGAAACTGTTCGACAGGACCCAGATGGAAAGTCTCTTCAGCCTCCGGTTTTTGACACGAGTAGCTATAAAGAGAAAATACTAACGCTGCAATCATTATCTATGTATCCATATTTGTTAACAATTCGTGGCTACCAGGTGCATCATGACCTAGTCTTATACCCACTTCGCGCCAAATCTTTAATCCTTGGACGACATAATTCAAATTCTTCGTCTGCTGATATTGTTTGTTTCGCGCCCGATATATTTGATCATCATTGTCGTTTGAATCCAAGGACTTATCTCGATAAAGGAATTAATCAACAACTAAAATACACCTTTTATATCGAGCTTGAAGTATTTCCAGGTGCTCATGTGACCGTCAACGGGCGTCGAGTTGTTGGAAAAGCGGAACTTCATTCTGGAGACTTATTATCTCTAGGAAAACATTATTTATTCTTATACAAAGACCCGACTAACGGTTTTGACATCCCTTCCAAGTTATCATGGTTATCATCTAAAAGGGATACTGTGGGAAAACGCTCTTCCTTACCCGTGGAATATAGAACTCATCGCGAAAGAGTCACCGTCTCAACGTCCACTTCAGAAGAACTCAATACTTCATCAGATAACCATACTTCATTCGACGTATCAGACGATGCGGTGACATGGACGACAGCACCCAAAGGTCAAACTTTGAACCTAAGTTATGGTAAAGACCGTGAAGAGGAAGTTTTAACCGCCATTTCTGGTTTAAAATGTCTCAACAGACGTGACCATCCCCTGACATCCGCCATGTTGTTTATTTTATGCCACGACTGTGCCGTGAGAAAATTTACGCGTCATCACACTAAAAACATGTATAGGCGAATGCTGGCATGCATACAAAACAGCGTTTCGGTAAGAATATTGTTTACTTGTGAATTGTGACAAGATGTTGTTTATTTTAAAAGGATTTGCAATGTAATCAAACCGTTCATGGTATATATTAGTCGTCAAGGAAACGGTATATCTTTCTGACAGTCTCTACCATTATCACTGACGCCATTTTATTTTTCTTTTAATTCAAATCAATCCCTTATTTTTTAAAATTTACTGTCTTGTTTGATGTGGAATTACTTTATACGTCTGATACTCCTTTAGATTTAATTCATGACGCAATCGAACACGTAATTCAAATTTATTTGGCATTTCATTGTAATGCACGATCATGTCGATCATCTAATAATTTACAGGATATGTAGCCCATGGGTTGAACTTGCATGATGGTTTGCTTTTATAAATATATTCTGGAATTTGAGTATAGATTCTTCAAGTTTTATTTATCTTACATTTCAGTCTGTAGCAAGAAGTTTGTCTCAACAGAAGTTTGATTGGTAAGTCATATCATCCGACTTCCGGTTTGACAGGAAAATATAAAACAAGCATATGACCAAATCAATAGATTATACAGAGTGTGTACACTGTAATAATATTTCATCTAGTATTGAATCCAAGTCAGCAAAACATAGAAACTGATGAGAAAATATTCTAAAAAGAGTATATGAACAAATTTATGAACGATTCGCAGTAACGAAATAGATAGGTTCTTGAATCTAGAATAACTCAATTTAAGCAACGTGGTGCCAAATATCGTGGTGGGCTAGGATTAAACACACCTAGCCATTTGTTGCTAACAATGGGGATTGTGTATCTTATCCAAATAACATTTACTTGTTTTTTTTTTTCAGTATAAAACTTACTCTGAAAAATTCGTCAAATCACCAAGAGTCCGCCAATTTGAAACATCTTATGTACTGGATGTCTAATTCCATTAGTCTATATTGTCACATGGTCAGTATTGACACTGAAAATAGAGGGAGCAGTCCCGAACCAGAAGACGAGACGAACAATAGTCTTAAAGAGTTTTTAGAAGGACTTGAAGAGATTGTTAGTTTCTGTTTCCAACAAACAGTATATTGCATAACAAAGGTATGTCCAAATCATGAATATTCAGAAGCTGGATAAAGATAATAGTTGTGTTCCATATTAATGTTTTCTTTAAGATAGAACATAGAACCGTGCCTATATGAACTTCATTTGCATTGATAATGATGGCTACAGTATTATTCCTATGAAGAATACAATCTCCTCCTTATATTCGTTATAAGACTATATGTCTCCTGAATTGAGTTTCAATTGCTAGTTTTTTGTATGAAAATAAAAGCTCCAGCCCTCAGGGGCCTTTTAGGTCTCTTTTTAGCAGCTACGAATAGTTTTTGCACAACTCTTATTCATTTCTTTTATCATTCCAGGTTCTTTATCCACTAACCAATAAATATTTGGATTCAAATCCCTTTTCCGAAACAATATCAGTGGAGACCGACGGCGTTGAAAAGACAATTTTTATCCTTCACTCTGCCTTAGATCTAGCTCACAGCGTTCTGCTTCATGATGACGTTAGAAATCAAATGATGACTTATTTATTGTTCTTTATTGGCACATCTTTATTTAATCGTTTGATGAAAAAGGGTGAGTAACGTTTTTCTTCATCGTACGTTCATTAAGGCTTCAGTAGTGGTTATTCATCTGCTTGCAACTCAGCTGTAAATGCACAAAAATAAAGATCAATGCCAAAAACAAACTGGGAGAAAGGATCCTCGTGAATCTTAAGTGATTATCCTTGATAAAAATTGTTGGTTTCTTTCTTTTTCTTTTTTAAGTCTTTACAATGAATTAACACATCATGTTTCAGGTTTAGAACAAGAATATTATAATTGGACATTTGGAGTTCGCCTTCAGGCAAATATCGGTCGCTTGGAAGATTGGCTGACAGAGAAGAACTTGGCAACTGATTTCCAGAAAGTTTGTGGGAAGCTGATCGCCGTTGCTAACCTTCTAGCAACTTCTAAACAACAACTGTTGAAGGTAACCTGCTACTTTATTATGTTCTGGCTATTTTAGTTCACATATTCAACAAAGAATTGCTTCTTCCATCTATATTATGGAGAACATCAGCAGCACCATTATCAACGAACAGAACAACCCAAAGAATCATAATTTACGAAGAGCCTCCACTAGTGTCAAAGCCTATTTTCTTAAATTTTTCAAGTTGTTTTATTTGGACTGATTTGCATAGCATAAATTTTGACAAATTTTCTCAGCTTTCATATTTACATCTACAATGTATTTTAGCAAAATAGTACTTCACGTAAACCTATCCTATAATATTACGATTTACATTCCAGATGGAAAGAGAGTCGATAAGCTCGGAATTTTCACAACTGAATTCAACTCAGATATCAAAAATTCTTCGGGGTTATCAGATAGGTCAAGGCCGTCCAGCTCCTGATCACTGGTTTTCGGCGGACTCATCAGACGACGCTGAAGGTATGTGTAATTTTAACTGTTGGAATTACATGAAAAAAGAAAATACATCATGCTGAAACTGTGTAACCATGTTCCCGATATAGATAGCTAGAAGAGAACATGTGGCTTGAATAAAATTCATGTTTATGAAATAGTCATCAAAGAATCAACACAACTACCTGACCTCAGAGGCGGAGCCAGGTTTACGCCCGAGTTGGGGGGAGGGGGAAGATATCTGAGATTGCCCGAATCTTTAACCTAGTTATGAAATTTTTCCCCGAAAGCCTTTTGACTGCGCCACAGCCCGACCTGCCGACCTGCAGTTAGTAGTATTGCGTTACATTACATTAATTTCTATTGTATGTTACGTTGGAGTATGTTTTTCTTCTTACGTGTATGTTGCTGTTATTACTTTTCAGATTTGAACATCAGCCTTGCTTCTTATCCTGTATTTCTTCTACCGACAACTGGACCGGATGCGGCGTCAATGACGTATAATGATGATTTTTACGAGACATTAGATCGATTGAATGCCGCTTTCGGATCGGAAGAAGGTAGGTTACGGTTATAGTTTTATTTCTACTAGTAAAATCCAACTAAATTTTTTAAAGCTACTGCAGTCAAGTTAAAACACGGTAGCATGGAGATAAATCATCAGCATCTAGTTTTAGAATCAACTATCAATCAAAAGTAGTAAATTCTTGGATCACAGAATGAAACTTATTCGTTATCGTCCCATTAAGCATTTTGTGATTACTTATCCGATTGTATCTTACAGGTGATGGTGATAGTGGTTTTAGTGTAAGCAATACACCGAGACTAACAGAATCAATGATCAACACTGCTGAATCTAATGGTAACATGTTCTACCACACCGAATCACCACGAGTAACCGTGAAACAGCATCCACGCCTGCTTCTAGATAACCATAACTCATCTAGTATCCCTAACTCACCCCGTGCTGGTCACGTCTACCCTCCTTCTCCTCCAGACAATCTATCGTCTGCATCCGACTACTGGGATTGTGACAATGACACCACAGATGACGACACTACGATAACATGGCGCGAAAAACCTAATAACCTTATTAACCAATCAGAAATATTTAGTGACGTCATTGAAGAAAATATATATTTAGAACCTCGGCGTAGATCGCAGATTTCATTGAATGAATCTTTTATCGACGCCCCACCCTCAGAAATTGATTTTCATTCATGTCGTTCAACGTCAGATGAACAAAATGGTAAGGCTTCAAGCTATGATTTTACAAAACACATTTCCAAATTTTCACATTTCAGTTTTCTGAGTAAAATATTTGCACAAACATTTTGCTCTGTGGCATTGAATCACAGAGCAATTTTGTTAGACCGACAATCCTGATGTGGTCTTTCTAACACTGCCCTATGGCCTACTTAACACTTTGATCCCACTGCATTGCAGAGCATATAATATCTACACCTTAATTTTGTTGTGGCACACACTAACATTTTCCCACTATACTAGGTTTTAAGGGTTAGGTTTTCCACTCACTCCATATATAAATGCTTGTTTCCAAACGCATACTTTATTCTCTGGGCTATTTTTGTTTCAGTTTTCGTTGCTGGAAAGAAATCGTCAGTCACTTGTAAGTTTACACATAGTACTATAGACATTTTAGGCTATGCCATGTGTCAGGGGGAAATCCAGTCAGTTAACTCAGACATATTTTGACATAAGTTACTTTTCTGGCAGATAAGATATGAGATTTGGAGTAATTAAAATTTAAATGTTAGGCCTAAAATTCGTTCACACGACCAGATTCTTTCACAGGAAATGGTTTATAGTTGGAAGATTCACCGAGGTTAACTCGTGTCGATACACAAATGAGTTTTTTGGAAAAGTGAGTGTAGGATTTTGGCACTTTTTAGCTTGCTAGCTGCTGAGCTATCACTTTCTGAATACTATACAGTTACCAGGGTAACATGGCCTCACAATGCAATTATCTGATTTTTTTCTTATGTCTAAAATAGGGTGTTGATTCCATCAGGTAAATTTGCAACATGTGGGTGTGTCACTGCAGTAGATTGGGGTCGGGCTAGTCTATAATGCTTCAGAATGAGGTTTCGAAGGTTTCCTGTATCCGAGAGGGATCTGGCTTTTTAGAAGGATATAGACAAGGATTCTGTTCATATAAGGCTTTGGAATGGGTTTTGCAATTTTAGAATTAGGTGTGATATTGTAGATATTAGAAACGCATAAGGGCAATGTTTCCGTGGTTGTTTTTGGATTTTAGATTATGTCATCATTTTAGACTAGATATATTTTTTGTGAGGTTTGCGATTGGTAAAAATAGGTATTGCTTGCCATATTTAGATTAGAGTTGCTAATGGAGATGGTTCTGCATCAGATAAGATTAGTTTTGAATTTGGTGTATTTCTGAATGACTGTAGTTTGCTCTTTAAATATATATTGCTTTAAATGAAAATATTTCTTTCAGCCTTTTATTTATGTCTACTAACACTCATGCATGTATAAAGCTTTTTTTTATATTTTAACCATTGTTTAAGTAACACAATGCTTCTTACAAGCAACGACACGAGTTATATACACACCATTTCTCAAGATATCTTTAATGGTATTCCAATGCAACAGATGGAAAACTGATACAGAAACATAGCTCGATATTGTGTTGGATAATCTACTCTCTGAACGCAAGTATCGGACAAAAATTATGTTCAAATGAAAATCTAAAATAATCATCATTAGCCATAGGACGCTAATTTGAGAAGCAGGGTTGCAAAGTGCTCCAGAAGTATGCGTCGAGACAATGAGCTAAAAATAAATCTCGAACCTTACAATTACAGCTGATGTTTTATGCCAATATTGAGCATGAGAATGTTGTGTAGTAACTCCCTTGATTTGTATTACAGAATCAACATACAGTGACAATTTGACCAATGGCAGGAGTGATACATCACATGATGAAGTCGTGACCAATAATATTAGAGAAATATCACGTGATGACCGAAAGATTTTAATGAAATCTGAAAAAATGGGAGAAATCTTTACTGTGTCGATGCAGAAGGGATGTGGTCCTCTGGGATTGGGTCTAATTGACGGTCTGGTAGGTATTATTTGGATCATAAGTTTTATTCGCATTGGTGAAAGAATATAGCCTACAAGATTTTTTACAGAAGTAATTGGCTTTTATTGAAAAAAAATTGAAGCATGGTTATTATATGCAAATGAATGTAATATGCCAGTAACAATTGCGAGTTATTTTGAACAAAGGGAGATAATTGAATATTTTACCATTATTTCAGTACACACCTTTAAAATCGGCGGGTATATATATCAGAAATATCTTACCAGATAGTGAAGCTGAGAAATGTGGGCTGTTAGCTGTTGGAGATAGAATAATGGCGGTCAATGAGACAAGTGTAGTGGGTGCCAGTTATCAACTGTAAGTACCACGTTTTGCCTTAGGCATCGAGCAGTTCTCGTATCAAAAGAAAGACAACAGAAAGCAAGCATACTTGATTCAGATCAAGTATTGCGACTTAAATTACTATTATAAAAATTAGATTCCTTTGTAATTGTCTCAAATGGTCCCCTTATAACAGATTTATTAACTTGTTACTAGCCTAGCTCAAAACACTTGATCTTAATATTTTCTTCAGGGCAATGGACTACATCGTATCCACTGGAAGAGAATTACACATGGTTGTAGCTAGATCACCTCTGGATGTCATCCAGCATATAAAGGCTTCTATCTCGTGATATGAGTGGACATCTCGATTGGTTGGCTGGTAGATTACAAGTTAACGTCCGCTTCCACTTAATTGAAATCGCAGACGAGAGTGGATGTCTACAATCTTGTGCTATATACTTCACGGACTTTTAGTATCGATTCGTATTTCGGTTTCGTCCCAAAGTTCGACTTTAAGTGCACCTAGGAAATTGTCAAGGGATGAGATGTGCCATAACAAAATGTCGAACGTCCAACGAATTGGATAATAAACACTACCACAAAGGGCGTGTCAATGCATCAAATGGAAGTAAAACCCCAAAAATTAATTTATTGTAATTAAATTATATTGTAACAAAAGATTTGAACTAGTTTTATTATTCAACTAAACTCCCTGGGAATTCTTTAATTAAGACGTCCATGCACGTTTTGAATGACTATAACGTTTTTATTAAGGATCTTTGTAATGTGGTATTTTAACATTGTGGTAAAACTACAAACGCTTGTACTTGTAATGTAGTTCAAGAGGGGCAATCACAAGAAGCAAACCAATCCAAACCGTCATCCATAAGTCAAGATCAGATATGTAGGCCATATAGTCCAATTGGAATGCATAAGTCAAGATCATGCAAGTTTGAGATACTATAGGTGTTATCCTTCTTCGCCCGATACATCCGTTATAATCCCCTTTAAGTGTCTCCTTAAAGACGTCGATATATATTAAATTGTAGTATACATATCATCGGTTGATATTCCCACTTGTACGTAACACCATGTTAAAAATATGGGGAAAAGGGAGAGAAATGCTTTGCAACTGTTATTTTGGGTTAGGCTTTGGAAAGTGTGTCTTTAGACTCGACTGTAAAAACAACAATATTATCATGATCATCCAGATTGAAAACCTACTGTATGTAAAGGCGACCCTTGTTGTATGTAAAGGCGCCCCTTGTTGTATGCAGTGATTGTTGGCGAAGGTACCTCACTTGTTACGCTTAGAGAGACTTTCTTTGTTATAAGGTTACTTATACATTGTCTTTATTTATTGAAAACTCTTAGTCAGATGAGGCGATTAACCTAAACATTTACAGGTAACATTGATATCTGGAAATAAGTAACCTGCTCTCTGCTGGTAAAATATTTTTCTATTGCTTATCGTTTGTATTTAGGCGTTGTCGCTATATTCTGGGATTTCGTCCCATATTTCAGATTTTTTGTCCAGCCTTGTGATACATGAATGGCTTTGATGATAAACGGAAAGATATTTGAAAAAGTCTAATAAAAAAGGTAGGTATGGTTCTTTGAGTAGGTTGGTTGGGTTCGTGTTGGAATATTTCCGGTGTGTATTGTTTTTATTACAAAATGCAAAAAATCATGTGGGCGTATATTACCTTGCCTGGCAAGATATCTTCATGGAAAACCTCCCCACTCCCTCAAACCTCTCCTTCCTTGACAAACAGCACACTTTAGGGAGTATGGGGTACCCTGACCTCAATACCCGATTGCAAAACATTGCCTTTATCATAGCAAAACAAAGCACAGGTTGACCAAAGAATTTTGAAATCTTTGACCGAAACTGAGATTTATATAAAACCGGTTTCTGAGCTTACCTATGGCATAACGAAGAAAACATTAATGCAGGTTTGACTACAATTGGTGGGTATTATTTATGTCTTCAATCTGAAATCGTATCTTTGATTTTCCCCCCTATTCTAACACACATGTGAGGATGTTATATAATACACATCTACTTGTGTACTTGAACAATGGTTATTGCGGCGTCTTAGGAGTTACTTGAAGGGGATTATAACGGATGTATCGGTTGCCATCTTCACAATGTCAAACTTTTACGAACTTCGTCTTATTCCTTGACTGCAATAGCAACCATCTTTGCATTACTGTAACGATTTGATAAGATTGTACTTTAGCGAATACAGTCGATCAGGAGACTCGACAGAAAGTCTATAAACAATAGGTCATAATTTTAACAATCTTTCTGTCGAAAGACATTTGAGTGGCTGTATATACTGTAGTACAAGAAAGTTGGCTATATTGCATATTTGCAGTCAAGGTAGCCTATAAGTATAATATCTTGACATTGATTGGTAGGCCTACTCTAAGTTCAAAATAACTATATAGTACTAGAAAAAAAAAGCACAAAGCCGTGAAGGGAAAAAACAAACACGAAAACAAAATGGCTTTTATTTCAAGGGAACAAATACATGTAGGCTTAGCCATCCAAACTAGCACACTTTAGTCAACATATGAGATGAGTCAAATAGACATCCTAGATCATTCAAATGAATTAGGTAGTACACTTCGAAAACGATGATGAGAAATATCAAACTGTACCAAAATGCTTTTTCAAGGTAGGCCATCACTAAAAGCAATCCGACATGAACCCACGCCATTCTTCAAGCAAGAGCAGACATCACAAGGTACCAACCGACATGCATCAATCCAAATCGCTAATTTTTGAGCATATAAGAAATCATATGTAATGGTGATTTTCTATAGTAGTCTATTCCTTTAAAACCAGATATGAGAAGAACCCGATAGCCATCCTTGAGCATTCAAGATTGAAATGAATGAAGGCCTAGCCTAAAAACTGGTTGAACGATTCAATATAATTAGTGTCCTTGTCGTCAGGTGATCGAAAAGAACTGACTTTCTGCCCATAGCAATGAAACGAACCTTATGTTTCACGCTGCTATTTTGAATGCAGTTTAAAAGATTTGAACTCTCTGACTAAATGAAATAGTTTCACGACAAAATTAAGTCTTTAACCCAATGAAAATGGCCATAACAAGAAGTTATATTTCCAAGTTCAAGAGGGCGGTGCTAGCCATGGAGCGTCTGAGTGGGTCCTCAACAAGAAAATTTTCGAAAAATTGAATTGATTTGGTGCATTCTCAGTTTCTCGCACAAGTTTTGGGTCAAAAACGATAAAAATCATATTTTAAAATTTGTTTAAAAGAAAGTGGGGTTACAATATGGGGTGCCACTGACTTGAAGAGAGACTTCCTTCGGCCTATTTTTCAAGAAAGTCAATTCTAACAATTATATGAATACTATCTCTTAGAAAGAATATAATATTTCAAACCTGGCCAATAACAGTATATAGTGGATATAATTAAACAATAGAATTCTTGTATACAATACAGTGGCGGGAGTATGGTGGGCATGCCTTGTCTCGCTAGCGGCGGCTGTCATAGAACTTTTTTCAGGGTAGTCCTAATGCAACAAAATCATGGACTTTCACTCAAAAGTTTAAGCTAATGTGTTGAATAGACCCTGGACACAATCTTGACCAGCAATCATAGGGCTATTGATAGACTCTCTGTCTTCCAATTACTTATCACTATAACAATAATAACTTTATTAGAAACCCAGTTGCACAAGTACAATAACATATTTACAAAATGATAAGGTAATAAAAATGGAAAATGGAAATAAAATAAAAAATGAATGATGAAAATTAAGAGTCACATTAAAGTGAGTCAAATATATGAAAAAAAGGAAATGAAATAAAATTAATCTTTACAACATTAAAGATAATAGGATATTTGTAAAATAATTCTAGTCTCTCTTTTTATCGTAGTTCCCTTTTCAGTCCTGTTTTAAAACATTCTACACTGTTGGATTGTTTAAGTACTTGAGGTAATGAATTCCAGAGTAAACTAGCCTTGTATTTAAATGTCCTTTTCATGGCCTCAATCCGGCACTTGGGTAAATGTAATGAGATTTTTGTTTCCGTACGTAGACAGAGTTGTGGTAGAAATTGAAGATTGTAAACGAAAATAATTTTAAAAGTAATGAGGACATTTTCCGTTTATAATTTTGTAACTCAGTATCCCAGTGTTATATTTAATTTGTTGTTAAGGAGTTAGCAAATTTAATTGAGATAACAAGTCTGCCGATCTTGCATCATAGTTCGCCTTGGAGGATACTGCGCGCTGTCCGTTTCTGTAGCTTAAATAGGAAGTCATTACAAAAATTTAAATGTGATAATATATAGGCATTATAAGATAATATTCGTGTTTCTAGTGGTAGATTTATTTTAATTCTATTGAGAAGATATATTTTTGAGGACACAAACGAGTGAAGTTTCGTTATATGTTTTCCCAAGTCGAAGTGATCATCTATTGTAATTCCGAGTAAGACAGCTTCGGATACATTGTCTAACTTCTGGTTACCAATGGACTGAGAAAGACTTTTATCACTGTCTGTTACGTTTTTTATTAACATACTTTTACCATTGGCTGATAATGTATAAATTCTCTCGAAGACAACTCTGAATGCAGCCAAGTTTTTCACCAGAATGATATATGGTAGTATCGTTAGCAAATATTTCAGAAGTAGAATTTGTTTTTTTATAAAAATGGGAAGATCATTAAGGAAAAAAAGAAATAAAAGTGGTTAAAGGATGGATCCTTGATCCTTGGGGAACACCACATCTTATTGTTCCATGTAGGGCCTACTATGTAATTAGGCCTACACTTAACTTTGACTCCTGTGATGGTTTAATTTCATTATCTAATATCATGAAGCAATCCAGTTTGCAAGCCTGTATTCATGAAGAGATAGTATTACCGCCATTATGTAATGGTGAAAAAAATTGCAACCATTAAAAATTAAAGCATATTTCAAATATATAAAAAACGAACAAATTATATTGACTTAAAAGTAGGCTGTAGTCTGGATGATGTTAAATGCAGTCGTTTCCCTTCGATCAGGTGCTCGTTGATTAATCGCCGGAACCGCGCCTCGTTTTCACTGTAAACATGTCAAGTGAAAAGTTCGGAAAGTGACATTTGGGCTTAATTAATCTTTTTAGTGATAATTATTATCTATTTTACTATTTATACAGGTGAGATTATGTAATATATTGTAACTGATACAAGTTGATGTTATAATTGCTTGTAAGGTTCAATTTCAACGTGTTACTCATAACCCAAACAACGAAAGTTTGAGAAAGAAAGGCATCCTGACTTTCCTATTTTTTGTGAAGTTCACATTGTTTTCACTTTCACGTTGTTATTCATTTATAACTAAGTAACATTAAGTTACTATGATGTATCTCTGACTTGTCCTTTTTGATGTTGATAAGCTTTTCTTTGTTACATGCTAGCCTAAATTGCTATTAATAATTTATAGGTTACTTTTTGCTCAAAATGCCAAACCAGTGACTGAGTTTAAAAAATTCAATTTGGCCGGAGAACATATTTGTTGACTCATAAAAGTCATCAATCATAATTAAGACCCAATTCTGGTGGAGAATAAGCTTATAGCAGAATATATAGAGTTGTACTATAGCTATTTGGTAATGAAAATAGGGGATGAAACAGGAGCCATGTGGATGTATCATTTTGCCAAAATTATTCATGAATATATACTGCCACCATCTGTGCCACCATGGTAGTCCTTTTGGTATGATCTGTGTCTACTGGCAATTATGTAAGCTTACTCATACTCCTATAGAATTTGGCTTAGAATTATTAGCTATTATTATTATAGCTCCATCTATCTATCTAAGGATCTTACTTACTGGTGATAGTTGAAAGTCCAAAGATTTAGATTATAAATAACTTTTACACCCCTTGACTTAGGCCCGGAACAGATTTAGAAAATTCTGCCTTACAAAGTAAAAGTTGTGTCGCTGGTTAGTGCTGCCAATTTCGTTCAAAGAGAATTTAAGTTGATAAAGATATTTCATGACCATTTTAAGGTTTTTTTTTAAAAAAAAAAGTACCAGTAGTTTAAATGTTGCAAGTCGATTGCACATTGAAAACACAATATTTACTTTTGGATGAAAAGAACAAACTTTGGTGTCATCTTGAGTTGAAATTGTTTTATAAAGGCCAACTTAGTTAAAATTAAAAAAACAACACTACAGACTTGAGAAAGTTGTATTGGAAATTGATTTAAATATCAATGATAGGTTATGAATAAGCCTATGTAAGGCATCAATGCCAAATAAAGTCAAATCATATGTATATATTGAAAAAAATATATTATAACATTTTGGTTCTAAGCCACATAATCAAGGTACTTATTGAATGCGAAACATTAAATGTATTGTTATCAAAATTTCTCCACATATTTCTAAAATATCCAATAAATCAAGGGTGTGGACAATCCCCTATTACCAGCATCATCAAATTTTTAACACACACATTTTGTATTTTTCAGACTTTTAAAAAGCCTTAGATGGAAAACTGAAAATGGAATTATCAATCAAACCAGGAACTTTTTATGATCAAACTTAGTTTTAGAGAAAAGTTTTTTTTTACAGTGGCTTCTAACTAGAATTGTGCCGATTTTTGGTGAAAATAACAGTTTTGCTGCCACCAGTATGACTTAGTGACTTTTTAATTCTTGTTTTATTGACTTTAACAAGCAATTTCTAAACATTGTACATTTTGACATTTTATATTCCTTTACATTGTTTCTTATTTATCTGTTGTGGAATATTTTTTTTTGATATATCTGTTTCATATCTTGTGATACTGGAATTGTGTTCCTATTGGATTAATGTTTTAAGTTGTATGTGTGTTCTTACTGGTCAATTTTAACAACTGTGTTCTCAGAGGTTAGCATTTTAAAACTGTTAGGTTGTGATCTGTTTTCTCATTGACCAACATATAAGCTTATAAAGCTGTGTTCTGATTGGATAAAAATTTTAAAGTTTTGTGTATCGTCATGAGTTCAATAGAAGATCGAAGATTTACACTATGTTTAAAAAAACCACCAGCTTTAAGAACCGAGGAGGTAGGTCCATCATTCATTTCTTTTTTTTTAAATTGATCTTTGTTAATCTAAGATGAATATATTATGGACATGCAAAGAAATTTTAAGGAGATTATGTAAAATAGAAACGATGAACACTATGCACTATGAAGCAAGGACTGCTCATGTTGAAATTTTGAAATGTCCTTGGATGTGCTAGAATAACTTGAATTAAGCTCGCTGAATTACATGGACTTAACGCAAAGTCCAAGGTTTTCAGAACAGTAATTCATGCAGAAAATCACATGAAACATACAATTTGATTTGCTATATTCTTAGCAAGAAACATGATATGATAAGAGTTCCTGTGGTGAAAGAAGCAGTTTTCACAAATTTAGTTTTGCTAATCATTATACCTCAAATATTCTTCTAGATATTTGAAGGTAACCAAATAGTCAATACTTAAGCTCACTAAACATGCACTTTGCACTTGGATTTTTGCTTCTCAAAAGTAGGAGAAATGTAGAATCTTATGTGTAACTGACAATCTACAAATAGTGATGGCTGTAATCATATTGAATATTGATTATTAACATAGAGACAAACATATCATGTACTGAGATTGTTACCCAAACACTATCACTGTTGTTAAAATGATTGTTATTTTATAAAACAAACTAGGACAAGTGACAACTGAAGTATTCATACTTTAGTAATCTTTCAAGTCAAGTGTGGTTGAGTTGAGGAGTTGATGTTGGGCCAAAATAAATAAACTAACCAATCTAAACGTAGCCTTCATTGTTTTTACTAAATACAATAATAATGATAGATTCTTTATTTTCTTCCTAAATGATCCTTCTTTCAATCTCTCATTCTCTTCTTGTTAAAATTTTAAAAACTTAGGTATGATAGTAGAAATAGGTATGATAACTTCATTTTCTTGACACAATATACATTTTGTAAACACATTGCAAACTTTTGCACAAGAAATAACAATTGCACAGCATTTTTTTAAAACAAGAATTATGTTGTTATAAACAACACTGTGTCTTTTGTTAAATTTCCTTTTGACAAAATAACAAAAACATACATGATTTAATTTCAAGTCAAAATATTAGGTGGTCCACTTAACAAACTTTCTTTTTATATTACAAACAGTGATTGCAATAACAAACATCAGCTAACTTTGTCTTTCATTCCACAGATTGGCCTAAACTCACTTGACAGTTTCTTTTTAATTTAGAAATGTATCCATATTTCCCTAATTTGGCAATTTTGTATTCCAGGATTTAAATGTTATTTATGCTTTTCTCCATGGAATGGAAGCATTGTCAACTTTCCGTGAAGCAGCAATTAGAAATCTATGTAAATGTGTACGATATGAACAACATGAGGCAAATGATATTTTATACTGGTAAGTACAAGAATACTGAAATGTGAGAACTAGTTTTTAGACCTGGCTGGTTCCGAAAATGTGAGACAATTCTGCATTTACTTCAATTTTTTCAATTTTCGTTTTTTAGTGTTATTCATTCAATGTTTAAAAAAAGAATTTGGTACTATATATTTGTGATAATTCAAAGAGTTTGTTGTACCTTTTGAAAGTTGAAAGCCCCTCCATCTGGGCAAATATTTAGTATTTTGCTTAATGATATTGACTTAAAAATATTAATTCATACACCAGTATCAATAAAGGTGCTTTTAATACCAGCCTCCTGTTTTCTGATGTATGGTAGGATGAATAGAATCAAAGAAGTGTATATTAAGTGATAAATTAACACCACATGTTACAATGTGACCTTATACTTCTGAAAAAAAAAAAAAACACTTTCAATTCTTTCTGATCTGAAATATTTCATTTTTATACTCCTACATTGAACTGTGAAGGTATATTGCTGTTGCCCTCTTGTAGACGAGATTGAGAATGCAGTTTTTAATCCATTTTGAAAAACTTAGCACTTATGTATGAGATCTTGGTAAATTTCTATTTTGGCAATAATTTTATGAACAATTTTTATGATAAATAGTCCTACAGAGATTGCATATGGTTGTTGGTACGATATCACATTGACCTAAATGTACAGATGAAAGAGATTATAGGGGGGATACATATTTCATTGGATTTTTGTGCCTGCTTTTCATATGTACTTAAAGGTTGCTTGATTTGTAATGCAATGAGATTAAGACATACCAATAGATTGCTAAGTTTGAATATATTTCTTCTAGATCTTTGATCTGTGGCATTATATTGAATTTTTTTCACTATAACACTCATGAAAATTTGATTAGAACAATGAGTGATTCATATCTCTAAATTCCCTGGCAATCCCAGCAGAATGTATTGTTATTGAAATATGCATCTGACATGTATTAAGATGGTAGTGAGAGAGTCTATAAATAGCAACATGTACATACGCTATTTACTTGTAATAACAAACCTAATATCTGACTAATTCCTACTTGATTTATCCTCTAATTTACTAAACATGATTTTATACACCTACATTATGATGTGGATGTCAAATTTGCCGTATTCAAAACTCAGCTTTTGTTGAGTTGTGATGAAACTTGGTATGCTGACTTAAAAGTAATAAGGGTTATCTTTTAATGATCTTATAAGACATTAGATATGATAGTTTCTTTACCCTAATAATTTGATTTTGAGTGAGAGATTTTACAAGTTTTGATAAATACCTGGACACAATTATATGGATAACAATTACTTTAATAAATAACTTGCGACGTTTTGACGATGATGCTTTATCAAGCAATGATGTCATGCAATGAGTTTTTTTATTAAAGCAATTGTTATCTATATAATGGTGTCCAGTTATTCATACCCCAGTTACTAAATGCCACTCAAGGAAGTTTTGATAAGATGAACTTACATTTTGTCAGATAGCCTGTAGTTGAAATAATTAATTCATCCATACCTTGATTGAATGAGTTAGTCATTGTGCTAAGACTAAAAGCTTCAATTAGGATTTAGCTCCACCACAATGAATACTGTGGTGATTGTTTTAAAGTGGAAACGTATGCTCACCATTCCTTGAATGTGATTATTAACCTTTTTGGCTGTGTCTACATTGCAAGAAAGAGATTAGGTATTTTCATTCATGTATGTCATTCATAAGGTGTCATGAATTCATTCATATATTGTTTTTAAGACAAGTTTATATTTCAACTGTTGTTTTATATATTGTAGTCAAGGAGAGATGGCATTATGTTGGTATATTTTACTCACAGGATCAGTTTTTATAGAAGGTTCTATGTTTTTACCCAGATCTAGGTGAGTTTTATTATCTTTTCAATTAACCAGCTTCACTGCTGAAATACTTGCACTGCAACAAACACACAGTCCATGTGTTTCATAAAAATACAAATAAATACTCATCATCTTAAAGACAAATTAAGTACATGGTTGGCTAAGCTTTTCTATAATTACAGGAACCACAAAACATATTTCAGAACACCCCCAAAACTTTTAACTTATGTGGATTCTAATCCTTTTGTATACATGAAAATTCAGACGTTAGACTTTAATAAAACAGTTTTTTCTATGGATACTTATGAGGTCTGAAAAAAAGGAAATGTCTGCTTATATTAATTCATTGCCTGCTTTTATAGAATAAATAGGTTCCTACTTCATTTCACTAATTTATCCAATCTAATTGCACCCATCGTGCTTTATCTAAAGTCAATAGTTCTGTGGTCAGTGGAGATTTTTCACAAATTAGCCAAAGAAATTGCTATAATGTGAATTGTACCTTAACATTTAGTTGATATTATGATATACAATTTATATCCTGAAACATTAGTAATTTTAATTTTAATGATACAATTTCCACATTACAGGTGCAGAGTAATAAAACCTATATCTAACAAGGGAAATTACATTTTTTTTTAGATAAACTTGTTCCTTGTGCACTAGTTTTTATGAACACATTGTTGGTCTGAATCTACAATTTTCAATGTAGGGGAGATAATCCATTTAATTTTTAGATCAGACCAAAATCATTTCATTCTCCTTAAGCAACACATACTTATCTAGCAGAAATATAATGCACACATCTATTTCATTCAGTAATGTTTCAGATTACACTTTCTAAGATTCCACTTTGTTCTGAGTCATAATGAGTGGTACATTAAGTTGTTCCAGTCAGAACTCACTTCATCATTACTTCTATTGCTGCTATAAAATTATGTTACAGTCTGTGTATAATTCTGTCTAGATTTATGAACAGATCTTAATACAACTTTTTCTATTCTCATTCATCTTCTACAAGCCATTGCATAATTATGGTGTTTGTTACAATCATGAAAGGACCTTTTTTTATGTAAAAAGGACAAAATTACATATAATAAATATAGACCAAAATTTACAAATTCTCTGACTCAAATGAAGTTTATTATCGGGACAAAAGTGTCTACCATATGAATTGAAAGAATCCAGACTGTGGATCAAGAGTCAATATTTTTTTCTCAGACTGGTGGAGAGCCCTGAACCAACATTTTGAATTAGTCTTGTCCTGGAGAGAATCTTCAAAGTTAATTGATAGAAAACAGAATAGTCTTAGACTACGAGCTGTTTTGATTTATTATTTACTGTTTTCAGTAAATACTTTTGTTTCTTTGTCAGAAATTTAATCCTTTACAAACCTGAATTTGCATTTCTTTACGTTCATATGAAATGTCTGGATTTGAAATAAAGATTTCTGTCAGACGTGTGTTGTCTATATTTTGTCAACATTGCCAAGTTTTTGTTTGTTTAAACTTGTTGAGGATTAACTTCTATCATCTTTCTACCAAAAATATCACCTTCACTGACAGCCATTTTGGTGTTTGATTCTAGAAGACTATGAATATCTTCTGATTTCAAAATATTTTTAAGTCTTCTGCCAATGTTTTTGTTTGAAAAATTCTTGGGTTTTTTTTCATTTTGTTAATCATTTGATTAAGAAAAGGCTTAGAATGAAATATAAAAGACACACTATTAGGGTTTTCAGAGCTTTGATTTTCATGAAATATTTAAAACTGTGTAAATTTCAGGAAAAATAGGTTGTTGGGAGAGTTTGTATTGTAAATATTTAGTTGCTGCACCACAGAATAGAATTTGATATTAGGAATTTATTCAGTTTTCAGTTAGACTGATATTAAATGTAGCATGCTCACTTTCATTGTTTTCAGTTTTGTATTGTTTTAAATAGTTTTAGATGAAAATTTTTTGATTTCAGAAATGTGAATCTTCTTTGGTTTTGAATTCCTTGATTAATTGTTAAAATAATGTTAAACATTGTTGAAGAGTTTGTGAAGTGAAGTTGACCTGAATAATGAGAATAAAGTTTATTTTGCCGTCTATTTGCCACCATCCAGTATTTGATGATTCGCTACAATGTTGAAATTAGACTTGGACGTGAATTTAACTTGATCACCAAATGTCAATAAACCATGGGTTGTTTGATAGCTTGACACTGTTCATAATACCAGTCAAAATATTATCAACATAGCTTCGATTGCCAAGGGACTTCAAGGCTTAAATCTTTGAAAATTTGAATTTTGAGAACAGTTCAGAATTGTTTAAAAACAATGGTTTGTTTCGGTGAGACAATCTATGTCAATACTTGCAAAATATTAGAAAGTATCTCAAGTCATGAACAGAAGGACATATACTGTTAAAACTGCAATTCAGAAAAGAAAAACCATTCTCAGACAATGGTACAAAGAATGCTCTCTGGATTCAATCACAGATTTATTGACTTCAGTTGTTTCTATATTTAAACACACATTAGTCAATCAGTGGAATTTCATCCTAAAACTTGATTTCTTGAAGTTGGGTAGACGTCGGTGCTAAAATGGAATTATACAGTTAACCTTCAGTATTGCCTTTAATATGGTCAGAATTATCCCTAATCAAACTTTAGTTGATAATAAAGTTCAAATATGGGGTCAGTCTTGAATTTCCAATTGAGATTTAAATTTCAAGATCATTATTGACTTTGGGACTGTTGGATTAATAGTGTTAACTTTAAATCTCAAATTTCAATGGGACTCTAAAATCAAACGGGGAATATGATTTGCCGATGGTATTGATGGACATGTTTGCTGAAAGTTTCAAAAGAACCGAAAGTTAATGAATTTATAGACATTTTGACATAATCCTGAAGAAAACTAGTTATATTCTAGAAGATTTTATTTCAGTGCTGATTTGCAAGGCATGTCTGGTAGAGATCCAAACTTTGCCCTTTTTGCATCAATGACTTTTTGATAAAAAGGAGCCAGATTTGAGTATTGCTCATTGTCTTAATATTTTAAAGCAATAGCATGGCTATTGTGAGTAGTCTGTGATATCAACCAAGATATTATATGTTTTGTTCTTTTACACCACTGAAATTTCTTGTTAATTTGGCTGGATTTTTTCATATTTTCTGGGGTTTATCTAACATATTTTTTCCTGTAATACATTGAATTAGATGGATGAGTAGTAGAAATGTTACAGTCTCTATATTCCCAAGGTGAGCTGAAAGATGCCAAGTATATTCTGAGTGGGAGAAAGTTGATGGAAGAACATGAATTAAAGTGATTGTCTCAGATATTCAACCAATTTCATTTTGAAAAATTGTGTATGAAATTGTTGGATTGGTATTAATAACATTAAACTCTGTAAGTTATAGAAATGGAATATGCAGCAGTACATTATTTGCCACTTAACCTTACTTTCAAGGCATCATTCTTGGAGTTTAAAACCAAAATAATACATTGTTCACCCTTATCTTTGCTAGGGATCTTTAAAAATGTAACAATTACAACATCTTTTGCCCCAGCAGTGCCAGTGGAAGTACAGGTGGGTATGGTTTGTACCCCCATTTCATTCAAGATATGATTTTATATGTTTTTGTCCAAAAATATCTGTCAAAATGCACCAAATCAATTCTATTTTGAAACATTTTCTCCATGGGCCTATGCAGTTAAGATAGTATGTAGGCCTACCCTACCTTTTTGCCTCAAAAAACATTTAATGTGGAGCAATGACTTTACCATGCTGTCTGCCAATATTTTATCACATGTTATGTATTGTTATAGTGAGAGATAAGTTGGTACAATATTAATCATTTCATATCATTTGTCTTGTCTTCTTCTTTATTCAATTACATCAAGTCTGGAAACATCTAAATACAACAACCTTCACAGGTGGCAGTCATATTCCCCACTACTTTATTGTCTTAAAGGGACAAGAAAAGGTTTCTTAATTTGAGAACATCAGTTTAAAATTTTAATTTTCAGTCAAACATATGTGCTTGTTAGTATTGCGAAAATCCAAGTGTTTTATGACATTACTGGTACAAAAGCTACTAATGATATATCTAAGCGGATGGTAACATCATAAAACACTTAGTTTTAGTAGAATTTCAAGAACCACAGTGGCACCGATGTTGAAAAGAAAATTGGATTGTGCAAATTCATGGTATCAGTGTTCCCTACACACGTAAAAGTTTTAGTTTAGTTTAGAAAACCTCTTACTATCCCTTTAATTTGGGTTCTGTTGTTAAGTACAGATTGGTAATGTCTGACTTTCTATTTGTAGGACATTCATATCCTTAGTTCAAATATTACAGATTTGTAATTATATAAAGCTGTATTTTGATCATAATGGCTTGAAATATGTAGATTTGTAGACTAATAACTGAATGTATGATAAGAAATTTGTAATTCAAGTAGATTAAGCAGTCTGTCTGGAACCAGGGTTGTGTTCAAATGATATGAAAATCAGATTTTGGAGAAAAGCCCAAGAATAATGGTTATCTGAGAAAGGCAATATATCATCTTGATGTTATATTTGTAAAAAAACGTCCAGACAGCACCATTGAGGCATAAATAAGTCATGGCCCTCTGACAATGTCAATTAACTGCTGTCAATATATTATCATCACCTGACACCTGTTTACATACTGTCTAAGTTCATAAAACAGACTAATATTTTACATAATATATATATCAAATATATATTTGATATTTTGTCAGGTGGTCATCAACAATTTGCTTTGTATAATTCCAAATTTATGATTTCAAATTTTTTTCGTAAGAATCAACTTGAAAAATGTGATCCATATACTTTTGCTTTATTCAAAATTTTTAAAAAATTCTACGGCTATCAAGACTGTCTAGGTTTTCAATGTCAAATATTTTGTTTGTATCTGCTGTTAATATAAAAAAAACAATTGATTTCAGAACTCATGAGCATATTGATGGATACTATAGATGTCTGTGATAAAGCTATATTTAGAATTTGTTGACGAGTTATTGACATGCAACTGTTTATTTATTTACATGTTACATGTTTATGTTAATTATTAGGGTCACGACCCCATCAATAGCCAATCCCTGCTGTTTTTACTACGTCTTATGAATAAAAAGTTTAAAAGGTTTGACAATGGTCCTTCAGTTGATAATACTATACATTCTTTAATACATACCTTAAATTTTTTACCTTCTTTTATTTGGAAAAGTCTATTGTATCTTTATCAATATTTTTTTATTTTCCATCGGTTAGTTTATTTGATCAAAGGTAGATATCTGCTGTTT